ACCTACCGTTTGATTATTTATTATTGTGAACTTGTGACCCCAAAAAAGAAAGCAATATGATATGTATACCGTTTAATTATATTAGTTGAATGTTGACCAAAGAAAAGAAAAAGGTACATTGTAAGAGGACATTTGTAAAAAAAAAGTTTTATAAATTTTGAAAATAAGTCATGTTTGGAAACTAGAATCTAAAATGTATCACCGATTCACACATGTTATTAAAATGCATGTTTATAATTTAGTACAAAACATCAATTTACATTTTTTAAAAATGTTACGATTTTTAACGTTTGATTTTATAATATTCGTCTGCATCTTGTTCAAATTGTATTAAGAATATCCAATTTGGCATTCAAAAATTCTTTTAACTATGCTATTTAACACTTGAGATTATTTAATTAATTACACAATATATTCATACATTGACTGAAAAGTTAACTAAATACAAATTAACTGAAAAGTTACAAACTTAGAGTGCTCAATTTACAAATTTTACATACATTATATTCATCATGAACACAATTCAATATGATGACACCTCTCACGATTCAAAAAAACAAGGACAAGATTCAAAAATCGAAAAGTTTTATATTATATTCGTTGAAAACAAAATTATTGTCAAACAAATTTGAAATTCTGTGAAAAATAATTATCAAAAAACTTGAGCGTTTAAATTACTTATATTGTATTGACAAAAAAAAAATTTAGCATCGCTAACGGTCAAAGACATGACTCCACGTTTGAATAGTTTTCACAATTATGCATTTTTAACACTAAGATTTCTTTAATTACAATTCAAAAATATAAAATATTCGGTAAAAAAGTAATAAATTGAAATTCGGTGAAAAAAATTTGAAATTTGAGTACTAAATTTACGTTATACTGTGTTGACAAAACGAATTTGGCGTCGCTAACGATCAAAGACAATGGTCAATGACAGGATTCCACGTTCGGATGGTTTTCACAATTATATAATTTTAGCACTCAAATTCTTTTAATTAAAAAAAAACTAAAATAATCGACGGGAACAAAAGTTTTTGTCAAATAAGTTTGAAAAACTCAATGAAAAAACATAAGAAACATGAGTACTAAATCAACGCTATTTTTGTGTTGACTAAACAAATTTGGCATCGCTAACGATCAAAGATAAAAATCAAAGACAAGATTCCAAGTTAGAACAGTTTTTCACAGTATAATGTAAATTTATCACTCAAATTTCTTTAGTTCAAATCCGGAAAATTTAAAATATTTAATGAAACCTTTTTGTAAAATAAGCTTTAAAATTTTGAAAACATCGTTAAATCGAAAAATATCGGGCAAAAGAGCATGAGAGCATGAAAAGATAAAAATCTGAATTTAGTGAGAGACTTTATAATTATGGGAATAGAACTTGTACCAAATTTTCAAGACAAAATTGTCCATGATTGTGATTAGACTTTGTTGCTGAAGCTCTATAGTAACTCTTCGTAAACTGGATTTTGTCAATGGAGACTTTGCTACACCACATTCACAAAACAAAAATACAGAGAAAATCAATTTTTAAGCATATGCTTC